AGACAAATGGAATCCTGTGCTGAACCTGAACCTTCCAAAAAACAACCTACAATCTGTGACCATCACAAGATGTGCCCTGATGGCAGCTGAAGTTTCATTCAGATGGGCACTTTCCTTTTCCTTATCCCTGCCTAGTTTCCTTTTGTTCCTTGAGTCCACGCAGAATTCCATTCTCTGATCAGCAGACAAATTTAAGCTAAAGTATTGCCTCTGTTCTGTAAAGTTCTGTACAAAGTTCCTAAGCTTCTCCAGGGGGTGATCTTTGTTCTTGTCCTGAGAAATAACAATGCTGTTTTAACAAACATTTGAAATAAATACTGCACACAAAGACAGTCATTTTATTCTTTTAATAAGAAACTTTTGCTTACAAAAACAAAGTGTAAAAAGTTAAGATTTACAAAAATCATAAAAACATGATTTATATTTCACACTTGAGAGACAAAAACAAGCCCCAAACATGGATTTTAATGGAGGTGGTTTGCTTCATTTTAAAAGGAAAAAAAAAGGAAACTAACCATACATTGATGTTAACATAGCATGAAATTTATTCTTGAAGAATTTATATTGTTGAGCAATATTAGGGGAAGAAGCCATTTGGTGTTGCATAGCATTTTAGTGCACCAGGTGGGTTTTCCAGGCACCAGGGAGGCATTGTTGCTGGAAAAGTGAGGTTTGGTGGCAGAAAGAGGGCAGTGATGTGTGTGGGGGGGAGCACAGTGAAGTAATCCTGGGCAGTGGGCACTAAAGTGACACTGCTGAGGAAGCTGCTGCCTTCAGAAGGAAATAAATGTTTTGTGACCCTAAAATTCATGGTAGTGCTACTGTCCAGGGTTTGGGGGCTCTTTGGAAATGGAATATGTATGGAACTGGCATGTATAAACTCATGTAGCCACAGAAAGAGGTGGATAGAAACAGGTCCCCCATGGCAATATTTTTTTCTGGTCAGTTTACTAGGCATTAAGAAAAACAGTGCTTTCATGTGCCAAGTCTCCTATGGAACTAGTATGGGATTAAAGGACATTAATTGGAAAGGAGGCAGTATATATGGACCACAGTGGCCTGTTAAGACTGACAGATGTCTCTAGCAGTTTGTTCACTACTAAATATAAACAGGACAAAATAGTCTTTCTTGACCTTGCCAGCATAAATATTAAGAAAATTACTTGAGAATTAGATTTTTAAAGTATGTATATTTTAAAAAGCACCATTCTCTTGTATAAATCAGCTAGATCTTACCTGATAGATGAAGCTAAGACCATTTGAGTCTACACTGGGTAGACTCTGAGAGATTTATATCTTATTGGGTATTAAGATGAAGAAAGGTCACATGAAAGCAAAGCTTAGCTTTGAAGCCATCACCTCCCAAATGGTGACAAAGGAGGAATCTTTTAAGCCATAGTATAGATGCTAAACCTATTTAGACCTGCATCAAACTACTTGCTAAGACAAGAAATACCAGTACGTCCTGTTTTTTTTTATAGGAATGAAATGTAGATCCTTAAAGTCTGCTACCTAATCTAATGACTGTGAACAGTTTATTTGATAAAAACTTCCAAAATTGAAAATCAAAATCCAGCAAGAGTTACGGCAGCTTCCAAAAGCATAATTAAAATTTCATTCAAAATTTACTGTTTTGACTTCAAGTAAGTGTTTACTGCTGGTTGGGTTTTAAAGCCATAATGATGGTTTGAGTAAGATTTCATTTATTTTTTCTCTTTTTAAAAAAAAATTTATACAATTTTGAAAAAATGTATACTATATCCCTATCTGAGTAGGCCCCCAGCCTGATTTGGAAAGGCCCAAGTTAACATATGGAATATGATAAAGGTAGTGAAAAACAATGGGGTACACAGTCTGCTTTGAAAAGCAGCCATTTGATGAACAGTCACAAATACAAAGAATTTGGACATTACAACAAAATTGCAGAACTTGCTGGTAAGAATAATTTGCATTCACAGACAAGAGATATGAAATGCTTTTTAAAAGTCTGTGATACCAGATGTCCTTTAAACACTACACAGACCCATTTGCCACTTCAAATGATAAGAAGAAATCCTTTCCCTTAATCTTCAATTCCATGCAAACCATAATCGAGTACAAGGCACCAAATTTTATGAATTGTATAAAATTAGTTCACAAAGCTTTATCAGTAAGTAAAACAAACTCCATTTATCCCTCCCAGCCCACCCACCCAACTCCCACCCCCCACCCGCCATCCCCAACCAAGTGTTCATTCTGCACTACTGTCAACATCTCTAGGGCTTATGCTGGGGCATGCCCCACTGCCAGCCAATCCACCTCATTGGTTCTTCCCTTGTACTTGGATGGAGCTGTAAGCATAGCCAGAGTAGCAAACTCATACAATCATTGACTCTAGAAGCCTTGCCATTAAAAACAAAAATAAACTCTGCTATTGAGTCCATAGGACACATTAACACTTCTACAGTTTCCAATTTTATTCATAACATTTTAAGAAACATCTGGAAATTCTTTACAGTGTAGCACTGCCCCCCAGCCCTGCCCCGTAACTCCAAGATTGAGGGGCTGGATCAAAGCTGGCAAGAGCTCCATCCACCATGTAATAAGAGCTTCAGTTCCTGACTACCAAGGCCATTCCTAATTATTTTTACACTAGCATGGATGTTCGTCTTAGAGGCAACCACAAATATGAGGGTCAGGCTAGATTGAGGTAAAAAAAAAATCCTTTTTGAGGGCCTAGGTGCACTCATCTTGGCTGGCTACAGCAGCAAGTAAACATGCCAGCCAACTGACTACAAAGGGTTCCTGGAACAAGACTCTTAACTACTTGCCCTGGGAGAGAAGTGGGCCCATTAAAGGTTCGGTTAGGAGACCTTGGGTTTGATTTGGCAGCATCTAGTCAGCTTTTACCTGGTTCCTCTTTTCTTCTCTTTAGAATGATTCAATTTAATTTAAGATGCAACTGAGACATTCATCTATACCCAATATGTAAATAAATTAAAGGCAAAGGGACATTTCCCTCACAATAGCCATTGGCTTATGCAGCAGGGAATTCTTCTTTAATAGAAATCTCCTTAATACTAACTTCTTAAGTGTCTAGTGCTGCTGCCTCTGGGTACCTGAGGTGTCTGTAACTGCAGTGCGCACCTTTCGCAAATGTGTAGCTCAGTGGAGACTCTGATGTTAGTTTCTTTTATTACTTTGATATATATGTGCTCAGCTAAGTTAAGCACTTACTTCACAAAGTCCTTAATCTGCTTAATAAATCCTTATAATATTTGGTATAAAACTTTTTAAAAATTAAATTGGAAGATCTTTGAATTTTCCATTAAATGTTTATTAATAATTATCCCCACTGGACAGCCTGAGGGGTAAAGTAGATGCTCTATTAGTTCTTCTCTATCTCGTAAGTTCTCTTTTTCTAGAATAATAAATATAGGATTCAATGAAAGATGAGGCACGATTCATAGTTTCCTTTCCTTTTTACTCTCCTTGGTGTTTTTGAGTTAATGGGCTTTTCTATTGCCACAAAAAATCATTACTAATCATACTGACTTAAAACTGTGGATCTTGAGAGTACAGCTTCACATCAGAGCCTCTGGCAGCATGGACAGTGTTGACACTTTAAAACAGTGTCCAGGAGAGGGTGAGCCCAGGCAAAGCTTATACAAAGAAGCCTGCAGTAGAAATATAAACCAAATAGCATAAAAAAATGCCATACGCTATCGCTTCCAAATAAAAGCTAAATATTACAGAAACCTCACAGTGTTGGAAAAAGCAAGTTTAATTTAAAATATAGCCACTCCTTCCCTATCAGGGTGAGCCATTTTTTTGTCTGAATTTCCTCCATGTCTCAGTGCTGCCTGGCAGGGCCTATGGGAGAGTTCATTTCAAAATTTTGAGGTCAACAGCAAATGCTACAGATCTATGCGGGAAATGTGGCTCATCAACATTGCTAAAGCTATAACCCTCATTCTTTAGCCTTGCTTTCCCCACTTTCCACCCTTCCCCAAACTCTCTTCCACATCTACTCCCTTCAAGTGACAACTGTACTTCTACCTGAATTCAAACATGAATATGATATACTCAGTCAAAAGATGAGCATTCATAGTGACAGGTTGAGTGAGGCTTACTGCAGCAACCATAGCAACAAAAGTTCAGCAAATCTAAGTGAAGAACTAAGAATGAAGTGGTGCCTGATGGGGACAAGGATTTTTATCTGGGCAATTTCATTCTGTTTAGAAACTGACCCAATTTAAAAAGGAAGGTGCATTTTACTAGCACTGGGAGAAAGGACAGGGCACTCTTGCTTTTTTCTCTGATGGACTGAGTATAGCGGGTAAAGCAACAGTAGGGACTATCAAGATTTGGAAGGAAACAGGCCAAGACCATCAGCAATAAACTCTTCAGATATGTAGGGGGTGGATTCCTAAGCAGTTACCATACCCTAGAAAACCAAAAGCTCCCAAACCCTGTGGACATGAATGTTCCGGCTCTCCAGGAACATGAAAGACGTTGCAGGCTAAGAAGCCACAAGCTGCACTGAAGTGAGAACAGGTGACAGGCATTCAATAAGCCCTGGAGCACCGGCTATCTCTGCCTACCCTCAACTGAGTTCTGAGAAAACCTAAGAACCAGTTTAAGCCAAACCATGTGCTTGCCTTAGACCTGAACCAGGGCTCTGCTACAGAACTGCGATAGCCAGGAGTGCCCTTTGGCTCAGCATGCAACATGTGCTAGTCTATTGCTTCTTTATATAAACTGCCCCTTCTTTAGAATGAAGGGATATTCACACCAGTCTCAGAAGTATAGAATGATTAAATGACAGTGGCAGGCAGGGAGGGTATGACATATGAAAACCATCCCATTTTGCATGGGGAAATTTGTTCCATGCATCTCACTCCACTCTTCAGCTGCTATCCCCTGAAAAGGAATTTTGTTTTAAACCCTTGAGGGTTACTTCCTTTGTGGGAATAAACCCTTTAGACTTCATCTCCCATCTTGGAGCCAATCCCATCCAGCAAGCTGCTAGCCCAGGGCCCCTCCTCACGTGCTCTGTCCAGGGCTGCTCACATCCAGAGGGTTCTTCTGATGCTGCAAGGAGGTCCTGATTAGCAGGGGAATCACATAATGGAGAGAAAACATGGCTGCTCTCCTGTGTGGATATGATCAATTTACTCCCCCTCTTCTCCACCCAGATCCCTCTATATTCAGAAGCAACTGATGAAATGATCTTCATAGAAGTTACTTCTTTTGATTTGTTTTTATGAAAGGAGGGAATTCCCAAATTCAATGAAAAGAGACTACAAAATTTATGATAGGACATGAATCACCTGGCACCTTCTACTCTAGACTCAGTGAGGCAAACCTAGTCATCTGTTCCTGCAGTAGCCTTATTTCCTATAAGAGGAAAGATGTATGGACACCAATAGTTTAAAAGCAAGCCAGTCTTTGATACATGCCTCCCATTTCAGGAAAATGTCTGTGGTCTGCCTTCATCGTTGTTGCTGGACTGCACCTGAGATTGGAGATGGGTTTCTGAGATTCTTGCATTGCCCTGCACTGTTCTTTGAGTGTAAAAAAGGATGTAGGCCTGGGTTTTGCATACTTCCTCGACACTGCATACATTCAGCTTTGAGTCATTGCAGTGGACCCAAAAACCTAGGAAACCAACGGAGAAAAGGAGAAATGACTACTCAATTCATATTTCTAGTCAGCAGGCAAAATCAGGAAATGAAGAAAGGAACAGAGCAGTTCTGAATAGAGCCAACCCTCCATTATTGGTGGTGGGAAAGGGACAAGTATATGAAACCAACAGACTTCTCTATATCCACTGGCTTTAACACCACCAAACCCCACCACAATACTGCTTATCAGCTGACTGCCGTTTTTATATTTGTTTTATTCAGGCTTTTTCATTGTCCATAAGGGCGTTCTAGAAAGATAGCTGCAACACTGCAGGCTAAGCAATGGGGAGACGAGGAAGACAAGGAGGAGGAGAGGAGAAATGGATATAGAGGAGAGTCATAAAGGAAAATTTAGAAGGAATAAAAAAGTATTTGTTCACAGGCTCTGGATGCCCCAAGGGCTGTGCAGTTCAGCAACAGTGAACAGCTGAAAACACATCTGCAGCCCATCGGTCAGTACAGTAGCTGGGAGACTCCACTCTGGAGGATGACAACTTAAAGCTCCTTTGGAGGGGCCCTTGCATCCCCATACTTCCCATGGCAGGGGAAGTAGTAAGAACAGTAAATGTCTCCAGCTTTATTATAAGCTGAGGCTAGTGAGATTCATACAATATCTCCTTGAGGTTACCCAGGTACTATTTCTGCATAACCAAGAAGGAAAACGGGGGTGTGCAGAATTAGCATTACCACAATAGTAATAATATCAATAACCAGCACTATTGATAATACTACAGTATCCTCCAATACTGACTGAATAAGCACTATGTGCTAGGTAACTGCTCTTTTTTTTTTTTTTTTTTTTTTTTTTTGGGGATGAATTGAATTGCCTTAATTTTTTTTTTTTAAAAAGAGTCAGGATCTCACTCTGTTGTCCAAGCTAGAATGCAGTGGTGAAATCGTAGCTCACTGCAGCTTCAAACTCCTGGGCTTGAGCAATTATCTCACTCCTGCCTCCCAAGTAGCTAGGACCACAGGTGCACACCATCATGCCTGGGTAATTTTTAAATTTTTTTAGAGATGGGGTCTCACTATGTTGCCCAGGCTAGTCTTGAACTCTTGGCCTCAAGCAGTCCTCCTGCCTCTGCCTCCCAAAGCAGAGGAATTACAGGCGTGAGCCATTGCACAGGGCCTAGGTGCTGTTCTAAGCACTTTTACGTGAGTTCCTTTTAATTCTTAGAACAACCATATGTTGTTACTTAGTGATATACCCAAAATTTGAATTCAACTTTCATAATTCTGTTTTTTTTTTTGACAGTAGAGTCTCGCTCTGTCACCCAGGCTGGAGTGCAGTAGCACAATCTTGGCTCACTGCAACCTTTGCCTTCCAGGTTCAAGCAATTATCCTGCCTCAGCCTCCTGAGTACCTGGGATTTCTGGTGCCTGCCACCACGCCCGGTTAATTTTTGTACTATGTTAGTAGAGACAGGGTTTTACCATGTTGGCCAGGCTGGTCTCAAACTCTTGACCTCTAGTGATCCACCCACCTCAGCCTCCCAAAGCGCTGAGATTACAGGTGTGAGCCACGGCGCCTGGCCCAACTTTCATAATTCTTTCCATTGGATTTAGATGTATGTAATTTCCCTCTAGGTAATCAATCCATGGGATGGAAATAAAAGGAAAACAGTAAAATGTGGAGAAATCAACCCCTTTCCGTGTCCCCCACCCCACAGAGTAAAGCGCACGCACCTCCCTCTGTGTTGTAGCAATAGGCTGTGTAGTGTCCTGAGCCAAACCCTTTCCCGTGATGCATGACCACTGCGGAGAGATCATAGGCAAAGGTCTCTTTGTCAAGAGAGGAGAGCATGTCCCTGCAGCAGTAAGGTTCCATGGTTAATACCTGGTCAAAGACGACATGGACCCCAATCTTCTCTCGATGATTACGGCCAGACCACCTAGAACATGGATATAAGCTTGTTACTAGTAAAAACTGGCATATACAATCATAGGTAGAGGCAGGTATTAATAAAACAGGAAACTGAGAAAATTTAACCTTCTGGCCTTGGTTTTCCATCAATAAAATGGTGATAATCAATGTTTACATTTATTTATTTTCAGACAGGGTCTCACTCTGTTGCCCAGGCTGGAGCGCAATGGTATGATCAAGGCTCACTGCAGCCTCAACCTTCCTGAGCTTAGGTGATCCTCCCACCTCAGCCTCCCAAGTAGGGGAGACTATAGGCGCACACTACCATGCCTGGCTAATTTTTGTATTTTTTATAGAGACAGGGTTTTACCATGTTGCCTAGGCTGGTCTCAAACTCCTGAGCTCAAGTGATCTGCCTACCTTGGCCTCCCAAAGTGCTAGGGTTACAGTCATGAGCTGCTGCACCTAGCCCATTTATTTGATACGAATGTTCCATGAAGGACTCTGAACCTAGAGATCCCTAAACAAGCAATTCAAGCAATAGTCTTTCTGTAGTATCCTGCTTGCCCTTCTTTTCCAGATTATTTTATACATCATCCTGAAGATGAATCTACATAAGTCCAAGCCAGGCTAGAAAATCTTTAAGCGCAGACACCCAGTGGAGGCTGGATAATTAATTACACAGGAGCATGAGAGCAAAAGCCCAGTCCTGCTGGGTTCCCACATCAATTTGTCTTAGCGGATGTGAATGATCTAATCTCCATGGAAAACACAAGGTCTCGAGCAAACAGGCTTCCCCTCCCAACACCAAAAAAGACATGCGCCCTCACCAAAGCCTTTGGAGCAGCTTTTCCCACAGCTCTCACCCAGCTGGGGACTCCAACAGCAAGCTCACCTGAATCTTTTAAGGTGCAGCCGGAGGACCTGAGGTAGTCTGTAGATCATTAACTGCTTTCTAGCTTCACTCAGAACAAGGGGTTTGGGATTGGATTTTCGTCGTTTGCCTATGTGGTTTGGGAAGGTAGGTATAAGACATAGGTTGTGAGGAGTCTTTTTCTAGCTATGGCAGAAACAGTGACTTGCCATTCCATATGCATTCTCCATATTTTTCAGTATCTGAAACTCAATTTTATTTGGGGCACAATGTGACCCTCTTTCTGCATTTCCCAGCTTCACATGCCTGCATAGTGTGGTCATAGAAGTTCTGGCTAAGATGAAAGGAATGACCATGTGGCACTCTGCTTAGACAGGACTGACTCAGTTGTAAGGTGCAGCCCTTTGGCCTGCCCGCTATCTGAAACTTCTGGAATTCCTCCTGGACCAAAAGGTAACTTTGAAGACAGAAATCTTGCAATAGGATAGTAAAACAGAAAGACAGAAATGGCTTGGGTCACTGATGACCATGCAGCCACCATGCTGGCCCTGAATCTCCTTCAGACTTGTTTTATGTAACAGAAGAATAAAATCTCTCATTTTAAGTCATTGTTATTTGGGTCAGCTGTTAGAAGCAATCCAATCTTTCAAACTTTTGCCATCAGCAACTTTGCATATGATGGAATATAATAGAATGTGCAGCAGCAAGCACATAGAGTAGAAGCGTATGTTAAGGCTCCATGTCTTCACAATGGCTTATAACTTCAATTATGATACCCCACAATACGATTTGAAAAAGCTTTTTGTTTGCACTAGGTAAGCCTAATTCTGCTTGCTGCTCACAACTAGTTGTGTGCTAATGGATAAGTTATTCAAAACTCTGAACCTCAGTTTCCTCACCAGTAAAATAGGGAATAATGCATATATTTCAGGCTTAGGAAAAAGATAAAAAAGGATAAGATTACTAAAGAATAGAGCATGTAAACACATCTTTTCTTTAGCATGATTTGCTTATAGCATATTCAAATATTTAGAATATGAACTTTGTTGGTTCTATGTTTTTATGCTGTGCCTAGTTTTTGAAACACATTTGCTGGATAAAAGCACACTGCTGGACATGTAAGGACAATGCTGACAGGTGGCTAAATTTATCAGCTCCAAAGCAGAACCAGTGATCAGTCTCTAATGTTGTTTCTAACTGGGGGGGAAATGCATTTCTTGAATTCCTGGCCTCAAGCAGTCCTCTCACCCTGGCCTCCCAAAGTATTGGGATTGTGGGTGTGAGCCCACTATGCCTAGCCTTGAGGAAATGCATTTCTAAACTTCAGCAAATAAACAGTGGAAATAAAGTTATCTTAGTTTCTATCAGAAGACTTCCCTGTAACCATTTACTGATGACTGTTTTGTTACATTAAATTGGTAAATGGATGAGAGTAGAAAATTAGTGGTTAGTGCAGTCTCTGCTAATTGTCTTGAGCTGTTAATATCATGGGCTCAGTGTTGGAAGAGCTGAGCATCTGATACCAAGTCCTGTCTCTACTACTCACGAAAAGTAGCAAATCACAGCCAGATGATATATTGCAGAGCTGTGACAGTAGGATGTGGAGGTATAGCTTCTTATAATAGACTGCATCAGAATGAGTGTGCCATAGGAGAAGCTTTTACCAGGGTGTGCAGTCACAACATGTGGGGGCATGAACAGATATATAATTCAAAGAGGGGCTTGGCGTTATTTTATATTCCAATTCACCATTTTTTTTGAAAATTACTGCAGCTCTGGCTAGGAACCCTGGCAGTGACTGCCACCCTCAGCAGAGGGAGTAAGTGAGCTAAGATGAAGACAATATAGCTAGGCTTTGTTTCCCTAAAATGAAATTCACAAAGAAAAAGAAATTACTGATTCAATTGAGATTGATCAGTTCTGTCTCCATTTGATTAAGCTGGCCAGGAAGACAGGTAGAAGACTGACAGTTTTGAAACTTCACGGGCAACAGATCAATGCATCTCATCCCTTCGCCATAGGTTTCCTTCTGTGGCATTATTTGCACTTGCCTAGAGAAATCCTAATAAATTGGCACATCTGACAACCAGAAGAACAATCCTTTCTTGTAAAAATAAACAAAAGTGTTTCTTGCCTAATCTATCATATCGAAAAATGGAATTAAAGCTGTTAATATTCTTTTGTTCCTTACAAGTAAAAGGCTTCATGAATCCCTATTAAAAAAAAAAAAATTACTCTAATGAAACAATTTGATTCACCTGACTCTGTATCTCAAAATGGAACAGAATAGGTGAGTCTACAGTTAACCAGGTATAAAATTTCAAATTTTGTTTTCAAATGGCAAAATGAAATCAAGCATAACTGTGTGTGTGTGTGTGTGTGT